AATTTCCAGAAAGGTAGTAACTATACATGTAGACTTAAAGAAATCATTTAGCTTCCTAGGGTGGTTCATAACTTAGTTATTTTTTATTTAATTAATATTTCAAATAAAATTCATAGGACATTCAGTGGACATAACAATCTTTAGATACCTTTGTCCAAATGAAATATGAATAAAATTTATTCAGAGGTCAATGACTTTTTCCCCAAAATCTCACATACTACATTCGACAATTAGAAGAAATTATTTTTTCACTATTACGTTTCATTTGTTCATAAGTTTTCTATTGTGTTTATGTCACAGTAGCTATAATTAACTGTGAAAGTTTAAGTATATACACATTTAAATTACTTATGACCATCATAATTGTTGATCTTCATGAGTCAACTCTAGTGTTTTATGACAACTGTTAAATGTCAGCAGTTCATTTTTTGAGGCTCATAATGCAAAAGTGATTGCAGTAAATATTTGTAGGGTAAACCACACCTCAATTAGCAGAGCAATTCAAATATATGAACAGTAAGATATCATGAAGTTCTCACAAATGTCCCTTCTAGATTTAGAATTATAGTCAATAATTTTGTCTCCGTATAATCAAGCTTTTAATTTATGATTGGACAAATGAAAGCTACATTCAGTACAACACTCTAACTTAGGATTCTGTTCATTTCAACTGAAAGAACAACAGCAAATTCTAAGGTCATAAAAAGAAGCAGTTACGAATTTTCCAAAAATTTGAAAATAAATTACAACTTCAATGTATTTAACTACCCCAATCAAATGCTTAGACAGGTAATTATGTTTTATAACAAAGTATAAATATTGCATCAAATTCTAAATAGAAAAATGCTACATAAGAAAATCAGATTACAGAAAATTAATTTGTTTGTGTTGTGTATACCAGATCTGCTCTCAAAAATTTTCCCAGAATGGTGTCTCCCATTCTTATTTATCCTTAGATGATTGTTTAATAGTAGAGTCAGCTTACATTTGAAGATATTTTGAATAATCCTACTAAAAACCAATTTAAACAATGTGGCTCATGTTTAACTCTTCAGTTATTTATTCATTAATCTCTTTTAAGTACTTCCTTCCTCAACACAGCTGCAGTTCAGGAGGTGGCCAGCAGTTGGCCTCCATTTCTATGGATTTTCACAAACACCCACATTTCTTTTTTGCAAACTTTTCAAATGTTGTATGCCTAAACAAGTTTTTCATAACTTAAAGAGCTTATAACAAGCTTTTAGAAAGAGTCCAAAAGAAACAAATTTTCTTTTAAAAATAAAAACCAAACAAAAGAAAGCCACACACACTGTAAAGATGTTTTGTGCAAAACATTCTGTTTAGCAGATTTGAAATGTCTCCAAAGGGATCAAGAACCTCTTGGTTTGGAAGCAACAGCCAAGAACTTGTAATGGGTTGGTTAAAAGCCAATAGTGACAGCCATGAGGAGGTCACTACAGCAGATCAGGAGTGGCTGAGAGCACAGCTTCCCACATCTTTAACTGTACCATTGCACAGTGCTTCTGTCCTTGGTTCTGTTTTTTTCTCCTTTTATGTTCTCCTAAAAGTCCTAAAGACTTCCGTTCTACTAACAATGAAAATTATGGAGGCAACTCACATATCTACTTCTCTTTTTCTGATACATCTCTAAACTAATGTTCTGTCTCCAAGTGCTGACTTCAACATTTCCACAAGGACAGACCATCATTAGCTCACACTCAACACATTTTATTCATCAACACAACTTACTCACCTTTATCATACAAATTGCTTCATATAACTTTGTTCCTTGGGAACAAAGCCAAAGTTTCCTGGCTTTGGTAACATCAATCTCATTTTTTGGTCAACAGAACCTAAAACCAGAAGGACAACTGCAGACTCCCTCATGACCTTGATCCTTCATTTTCTCTTGGTTCACACCTGGCAGATGCATTTTTCAGTGAGAGCAACCATTATCTCTTTCCATCCCCATATACTTCAACCATAGAATCTTGCCACTTTGCCATCAAAAGGTGACTGACCTGGGCAAAACACTCACTTACAGCCAAGACATTGTGACTGAAACAATGCTATGAGACTTTCCAGGTCAGGTCAGAAAAGACCACATAGCTTTGACCTGGTTCTCTTGGCTTACTCCCTTTGGCAGAAGCTTCCTGCCTTGTAAGAAGTGTAGCTGACTCAAGACTGTCATGAAAGGCCACATGTAGTCCCAACTAGCCCTAGTTGTCTAGTTATCCTCATCAAAGTGCCATATATGTGTGAAGAGCTGACCTGGATCTCTCCCAACCACTTCAACTGCCAGCTGAGTGCCACCAATTGAACTCAGTCTGCACTCCAAAGGGAAGCATCACCCAGCTGAGCCATGCCCCGAGATTCCTGACACACATGATCATGAAATGTAATAAATGTGTCCACAACTTTCCTTCTAACCATTCCCTATGTCACGTGTGGTGCTGTTACCGCATGAGGTCAAATGTTAAATGAAATGTGACATCTTTATCTCCATCCTCAGACCCATCATCATAGAGGAAACCCTCATCAGCTCAGACCTGGATTGCTATGATTGAATCCAGGCTCTTCTAACTATAATCCACTGTTACAATCTACCTAACCTAAATCACTGAATTCACAACCAAAACCAGTCTCATAATATTTTACATTTGCAAGAAATTATTTAAGGCAAAAGTCCTCATACATATCTATTTAATTTGATTCATGTAACAAAAGCCAGAGAGATCTGTCAGTAGAGGAAATCCTTACTTTTAAAGATAAAGATATCAGAGGCTAAGAATATTAACTTTTGGATAGTCTCATTGTCAAAAGAAAATATACATAGAACTAAGAACAAAAGTCAGAGTATTGTTTTTCCTTTATTCAATGATGCTCCCTAGGATCTATCTCAGATCAAAAATATTTGATGGCTCTCTCTGTCCTTATTACAGCAAATCTGCTTTCACAGCACTCCATAATTTGGCCTCAATCTATTCCATTGTACGGTATTTCCTACAATCTCTACACTACCACCAGTAGCAATGCAGGGAGGCTGGTTTACTTACTCACCTAATAAGCCAGCCATGCTGATTCTAGTCTCTAGACACTTAGAACATGTTCCTCTTCATTCTATATATTTAAACATATATCATGTATAAACATAAATTCGACCTCCTCCAAGCAGACCTACCAGCAAAAACATACCCTGCCTTTTCTCTCTGCTAGTGCTAAAGGATTTGTCAATTTCACCCAAAATTTGGCAGGTATTTTTGTTTGTTTTTGCAGTACCAAACATTGAACTCAGGACCTTGTGCTTACAAGGCAGGCATGGCACCAGTGAGCTACATCCCCATCTTAGCAGGTTTTTTTTGGTGGTGGTATGGGGACAGAACCTGGCCTCAGAGCATTCTAGGCCAGGGCTCTACCACTGAGCTATATTCCTCACCCAGCCTAATATGCAGCTTTCAAATTGTGAAATATGTTGGTCTTACTTTCCAGGATGGTATTCAGTCAACACATACCCACACGTATGGTGATGCCAAGTGCTTATGAGTATCTGTGGTATCCAGTTAATGCCCAAGGAAGACCTTCATTAAATATTTTGAAATTCATCCCTGCTTATTTCTGAAACTCATAACTTTATAGGAACCGTATTCTGTATTTGATTCTATTTTTTTTTTTTTTTGGTACTGGGGATTGAACTCAGGTCCTTGTGCTTGCAAGACAGGTGACAGAACCACTGAGCTAAATCCCTGGCCCCAGGAACTGTATTCTGTAAAGTATAACATTCTCCAAACCAAGTATAGCACCAAGCACACAGATAATTATACACACACACACACACACACACACACACACACACACACAGTGAAGTGTGGTGGCAACAGCCTGGGAGGCCGAAGCAGGAGGATAACAAATTCCAGGCCAGTCTAGGCAATTTAATGACATAGTGAGACCCTGTCTCAAAATTTAAAAAGGGTTGAGTTATGTAGCTCTGCGCAAAAGCCCTGAGTTCAGACCCCCGTACTACAATAAGTAGATAGATAGATTTTTAAAAATCATTAAGTCACATCTATACTGGAATCAAAGAATTGCAACGACAAAAAATATTTTCAAGATCATCAGTTTAACATCAGGGACATTTTTAAAATATCATTTAAAGATAATCTGTGTAGCCCATAACTGTCAAGGTGTTTTATAAATGTGTTTACCAAGAGTGGGGAAAAAAAAGTTTCAAAAATATTCAAATAGATGTCTTAACAGCCCAAAATAAAACGTTTGCTGAAGCTACAGGCTGGCAGAACTCTGCTTCATTTCAAAATGTTTCCAGGCAACAGAAATGTTTTCCTGGAAAATACTACTTTTTATTTAGAGAATACTTGCCACAAATACTTAGTCATTAACTAATTTAAGGTTTCCTCACAAGCTCTGTGGAGGAAATCTAAAATATAAATGAATGAAATTATCAGTACATATACTGTCAAAAAATATATTTTGGTTAAATATATAAAATTTGCCTAAGTACTTTTCCAGATATGGAGGGGTGTCTTTTATACTTTTTGGTCTACTTACTGCTATTTTATATCTTTTTCTGTAAAATTACAACAAAACAGACAAAATACTTAAGTATTTTTCTCTGCAATATATACAAATCCAAAAACTTCAGAATCCATTCTATTCTAAATGCCAAATAATTTTCAAACAGACAAAACATTCATTTCATTCAGTGAAAAGGAACAGTAATTCCAAAGTTATTTTTAGCAAAATCTTTGAGTTTGCTTCAAATCACCTTTCAATGAGACAGCACCTTGGTTTGGACATTTCATGCAATCATCTGCAGTAAATCAATCATACAATGAAACCTAAGAAAAGCATCTCTTCCAAGAGTTTTGCAGCCAACCAAGTCTTTATTCTTTTCAACATCAAAAGACACAATTAAATTCTATTCCAAGCACACGGTTTGTACATTCAGTCTTTTAAAAACCTACACAAAAGGATATTTGTTTTACCTGTTTAGTATTTCAGTGAGTTTCACAAAACCCGTATAAGCCAGTTCAAATGCTCCTCTGTGCCTGGACTGTAAAAGGTGTTGCTTAAAGTAATCTCCTATTTCCTTCACCTTAAAAAAAAAAATGTTAAATTTAGGTTTACATTTATAGATTTATATCAATAATGTAATTTAGAATTCATGTCTTGTTGGCCATTTATCTAGCATTCTTATATCTCAAATAGTCACAATAACATAATAAAATAAATATTAGTACTATGTCAACTCCTCAATGGGGAAATGAGGGCCCAGAAAGGCTAAGTAACTTATCCAAGGTCACACAGCACATAAGCAGTGGAGTCCAGAAATGAACCAAGCCGTCTCAGTGCAGCCTGTCATCTTCCACGTCACACTAGAACTGCCTCCCTACACCAGATTCACAAAGCTCACTGTGTGCTGTAAGTTCAAGCCACTGAGCACCAACATAAAATCACAAAGTAACAACACTTGCCTACATAGGTCTAGATGAAATAATTACATTTTCTATTTTTAAAAATTTGTTTCCATTCTGATGGTGCTACAATACCTATAACAAAATTTATCTTTTTCTTTTCTCTCTCTCTTTTTTTTTTTTAACATGTGATACTATGAATGCATATAAAGTGAATCCATATAATGAAGCTCTGGGCCTTTGCAGTGAACTACTTTCCTAGCTCTTTTTATTATTTTTTTTTTTTTTATTTTGAGACAGGGTTCCGTTATGTTGCTAAATTGCCCAGGCAGGGATGGAACTTGTGATCCTCCTGCCTCAGCTTCCCAAAGTGCTGGAATTACAGGCATGCGCTAACACACCCAGCTTAGCCATTCTCAAGTGTGTGGAGTTCATCAGTACTAACTACACACTGTCATGCAACCATCAGCATCATTCAACTACAAATGTTTTCATCTCCCAAACAGAAACGCCGTACCTGTTAAGCAAGTAACTCCCAATAACTACCTTTCAGAGATAGATGAACCCCTAGAAGTGTAACAGGCATCACTCTGAGTCAAAATTGTGGAATTTATCAAAATGTCATCCAGTCACTTTCCAATATGATGCCGTTCTCCATGCAAAATTAGACAAATTTAAAAATGTAACAATTTATTTTAAAGAAAACATAATTGACTGTTAGCTGTGACTATGATTTTGTATAGCGTGAACTTCAAAACCGGTTAGTATGACTGGCCTTTATATCCTTAGATCTGGTAGCTACTGGCTTCAGAAAACTCGGGTACTGTATAAAACTCAGGGCCAGAGCTGTCATTAGCTATTTTTAGAGCCATATCTCCAAGGATCAGAGCATGGTGAAAAATCAAAATGTCCCAAGAAGTCTCAGATCTGCTTACCTAAAAGCATCTTTCACCTCAGCACAGTGGCTGGATTAACATTCTGCATACGTCAAAAATGATAAACAGTATGAGGGACAAACAAATGACCATGGGCAACTGTCTCAGTTTCCTCATCTGGAAACTGGGTATTATAATAAAAGTTCTTACCTCTTAGGTTGCTGCATTAAAATGAGTCAATAAATCAGAAAGTTCAGAACAGGCCCATAACCTATAATCAATTCAATTCGATATGAGCTTTGTCTAGGGTTCTAAGTAGGGGAAAGTACTCAAAATATATCTAATCTAAAAGACCTAACAAGTGATTCATACAAAGAATGAGATATGAGACTAAAACAAAACAAAATAAAAAATGAAAAAGCAGTATACAATGGATTTTTTAAAATTCTAATGTGTTAGCTACTCCAGAGGCTGAGAGGCAGGAGGATCCCAAGTTTGAGGCCAGTCAGGGCAACTCAGAGAAACCTTGTCTCAAAATAAAATATAAAAAGTGCTGAAGGTGTAGCTCAGTGCTATAATGTTTGTGTATCATGTCAGGCTCTAAATTTGAACCCTGGTGCCACAGAACAGCGGCACAAAAATTCTAACACTTTCAAATCTGATGATACATTTCACATCTTACTATTACCCCTTTAATTTTTTTAAAGGCAACATACTAATTGTCAAAAGCCACAGTCAAAAGTAAACTGTATTTTATTCTCAGTATGGTAATTCAGAGTATATTCTGAACAAAATTATCAAGACTTAAATTTGATTTCAATCTCCAAATAGATCTGAAGCTCAACAGTCTCACAAAATGAAGACCAGAAAAAATTCTAGTTAGCTAACTTGCCACAACTATCAGACCTATTATTAGAAAAAAACAAAAGGTTTATAAGAAGGTGTTTCAAGTTCAAGAAAACAAAAAGTGGAAGTCATAGAGGCAAATCTCATCCTTAGTTAATTCTATTTCCCAAAAATGTTACAGATGTGAAAATATACTGTAGGAAAACAACTGTTATTGGCAAAGTACCTCTTTGTGGCCTGAAAACAGTTCACAACTACCATCTTAAGCAGAGACTACATTTTCATTGCTTTCTTTATCCATTCCCTTTAAAGGGATCTGAACCAAAAAGCATATAATCAAATTAAAGACCTCAGAAGTGTCATCAGTGGCTGGTCTTTTGAAAGGTGAACCCTGACCTCAGAAATCAGAAAGATATTCTAAGGACAGAAGTGAGATATAGACAGTCTTCCATCATTTCATTTCATGCTCCATCTCCCAACAAACCTACACTAATGATAAAGAACCTCATTGTTAAATTTTGCCTTTGTAGAATATAAAATTACTTCTAAGGAGATAGGAAGTATGACTTTGGCCCCCTGCCAAGTACACAGCAGCTTAGTGTGGGAGAAACTGGGAGATGAAAACAGGATGTCTGTCCTCAGGAGGCTTTCCATTCAGACCAGCAGAGTAAACCACTATGCTGCTATGTTAGCCTCCTTTCAGAGGCTAAAAGTTCCACAAAATTAAAGATTCTTCTGCACTAGGATTAGAAAAAGTTTCATCCCTGACCATGAACAGGATATATGTACAGTACTTGGTTAGGGAAAAATGGAAGAGGGCAATGAACGTGAGAAGGACTCAAGGAGAAGGGCGGCTCAAGGTTAGAATGAAGCAATAAACATTTATTAAGTAACCACTACCTGCCCACCACTTTACTGAGTCTTTTTCTATGAGAGGACACAGTATAAATAAGCTGAGTTTAGCAGACCAGATAAATGACCAGCAGTTTTCATGCTAGAAAAGACTGCTGATCGAGGTGCAAGGTACGAATGAGCATAGTACTGAGTAAGAGAGGAGCAAGTGGACAGTGTGGTCTGTGAGCAGCTGGGCAGAGAAGGGCCCTGCAGACACCCTCCAGTGCATAACCAGGCGTGACTCAAATCACTTACAAAAATTAACAGTCAGAATCAGAAACAGAATTTTCAATTTTAATTTTTGAAATGAAAAAGTCCTCCAAAAACTCCAACTCAACTGCCTTTCATTAGATACCACTGAGTTCCTATTTAAAATTCACCACAGCTTTCTTTCTGTCTGCTGTCTTTACAAAATATTCTTTATATATGAATTACATGTATCTTGGGATTTTTAAAAGAGAATTAAAGTAAATATGTAAAACAAAACCTGACATTAGTTTCTATTTTTAGAATTAAATCTATTACTATCTTTTTTTAAGTTAGCATATCTTGCCTTTAACTCTGGGCTTTTATAGGCAAATTAACATGTTTTATGGATTTACAGGGTGTAAATTTCCAGAGGCAAAAAGAACTACAAGCCTTATTTCTATATGCCTACGATTAATCAACAGACAAATTAGGGGAGCTAAATACTCATCTAGAACATAAAACCAACAAAGAACAAATACAAATACATTTTTAAAAGATTTACCTTCTACCTATACAGTAGATAGATAAACCAAAGCTAATTCCACTCATTAACTACATAAACCCAAGAAGATTCAAATGAAAATGGGACATTTCTACAAAGGGTATGTGCAGTGGTTAACATTTGGGACTCTGGAGCCAGCAGGGAGCCTTCAGAACCTCACTCAGCCACCTTACTATTGTAGGCTAATTAAGCAACAGTTCTCCCTCACCTGTGAAAAAGCATTTACCCTGGAACCTACTTCCCAGAAGTATTGTGAGAAATAAATGAGATTGATTATGTATATAAGCATTCAGTAGAATATCCAGCATGGGGTGGCAATCTATAAATGTCCATTTGGGGATTTACTTTGTATTATAAAATAGTAAGACTTAATCCCTAAGCCTTAATTTAAATTCTGACTATAAGACAGAGATGCTTTTTATGAGTCTGGGAATATCAACAATCAGGAGTTTATAATTCTACTTCAGTTAAACAGGATGTTTTAGCTGGCCATGGCAGTGTGCATCTGTAATCCCAGCACTTTCAAAGGCTGAGACAGAAGAATCATTAAGTTTAAGAACGACTTGGCCAACTTAGAGACAACCTGTCTTTAAAAAAAATAGTAATAATTTTAAAAGGGCAAGAGGATGTAGCTCAGTAGACACTCATGTAGAGTGTCCATGGGTTTGATTTCCAATACCACATACAAAAAAGATATGTGTATGCTACAGTAACATAAGCAATGTTCTAAACATACATTCTCTACATATACTGACTTCTTACAGGGATTTCTTCAAAGCCTAAACCCTAGATCAGTGAGGGCAAACCTATTAGGGATCAAGTACCCATACTGCAACCCAAAACTCTCTTATTTGTCACGAAGGGCTAATGCTGCAATTAAACATGAACACTGAGGTTTTAGTCTAGAAAAAACTTACATATTTTGTCTTAAAAGAAAACCAGTAAAACAAGTGCCATAGGTTCACCACCACTGTCCCAGATATTAACAAAGGCAATAGTTTTCTGGTATTTGGACTTATCTTACCAGAATGTTTATTCTTTGCTTTCTAGCAAATTCTGAGCCATGAACAATTTAACTATTGTCCTTCAATCTGAGTTATAAAATGAATCTGTCTTGTACCCCCTATTATATTTCTAAGCTCTTTGAGGTCAGAGAATCCCATATTAATTTTCTTTATGTTCCCACAACACCCATGTAGTAAGGCCATGAATAAATAGGTGATTAAATGATGTAGTTTCATAGTCAACATCACATAAAAGCTTTAAAATGGTAACTTATGTTCAATACAATTCAATGTACTTTTTCATAATTTCTAAAAACTAAATGTAGGCAAAAACATAAAAGGCAATTTCTTTAAGATTCAGGAATGCTAATAAGTGTATATTCTTTTTGTAGTCCATTACAAAAGAATCCAAACCAATAATGAAAGACAGAGAATCTATCAACCCAGCTAGCTGTGTGCATCATGCAAGAGACAACGGAACCTATAGCAGACATTTTTCTACTGGCTAGTAATTATTTTTCTTCATGTGATTTCTGTGACAATAATTACTAGGAAGGAGAAAGCAGATATGAAAAGTTTAGCCAGAAGCTTCTATTTAGGAATATTAGGGGAAATACATAAGCATCAATTGGTGCTCCAAACAGAAGAATGTTTTTAAAAAGGCCAGCAGGCATTGGGTATCAGATATCGCATGGAAAGAGGACCAACAAAATGTATCAAGCAGAAGTCTGTATCAGCAAAATATGAACCTGAAACCTAGGCACACAGCAACTAGCCAGGAAGCTGGGCGATAAGGCTGTATATACAGCTAGCTCGCTCTGGAAGGGTCTCCACTTACATCCCTCAAAGCTGGTTTTATCTCTGCCTCTTTACAGAGACATTATGAAAGAATCTTTCATTACATGATTACAGTGCAAGAGGAGTGTCATACAAGCCACTGAATGAACACATTTTCCTCTTGCAGAAGCTGGTGAGAGCGCCCTGTTTCACAAGAAGTGATCTAAGAAAAGGATCGCTTATTTAAAGGTTCAGTTAGCAAACTCACTGTTTTCTTCGGGGGTACTGGAATTAGAGAAAATTCCTCTTAAAGAAAAATTAAATTAGCAGCTCAGAACAAAGGCAGCACTCTGCCATATGAACATAGGCTGGCCAGGAAAGGAGTTGGGCTCCTGGTTCCAGAGCTGCCACAAACCAGCTTTGTGATCCTGGGCAAAGCAAGGAACAGGAGGGGGCTTCAGCTTTCTCTCATCCAAGATAGCTAGACCTTCCAGCTCAAAACAGTTTGTGAGTACCACACTGAAATCTTCGAATTATAAACAAGTACTCATTCTTCTCTCCATATAGCAACAAAAATCCCCAAACTGTAACCTCATTTCCCATTAGTTTGCTATAAACTACACTCGTGTATGTGGAACTTAAGTGGCCAGCCATTTAACAAAGGCCCATAAAATCAGGATGCTAGTAGGCTATGAAACCTTCCCTGTCTTCTATACTCAAGCCATCAAATTTTAAATTATAATAGAATTTTATTACTTTTTCAAATGTGCAGGCTGAATACAGAAATGAATCAAGCTCAAAAGCAGTATTTTAGGTTATATGAACAGCTGCTTCCAGCCATTAATATAAAAGCAGTTCATAGCTACTGCTGGACATATGAATTGCAAGTTTCACATTCTCCACAGTAACTGGGATACAATTCAGGCTGCCAGTCACCTTGATGCCTCAATATCTCCAGGTCTGTTTTAGTCATACTCACAAAAGGTGCTGACTCTTAAATTGGTCATTTCACCACCAGGCATAGCAGATCTAGCTTTGCAGGGGAAACTGTGTCTTGGAAGGAAGGATGTGCTTAGGTGTGGCCCAGCCATTCCAATGTAAATTACATTCTTTAGGTTATTTATACATTAAACTCTTAAAAATATTAAGTGCATGGGAGTGGAAGTTTTTTTAATTCAAAGGAGCAAAACTTTGTTTTAAAAGTAGAAATCCTGTAATAATGTAAGTAACAGAGATCTCTTCATGGCTTTGGATTTTGATGCACTAAATGCTCCTAAACTGAGGTGTTTCTTTAAAGTCAGTCAGAATAAAAAATAAAGCTTTCCATAGACAGTAGGGTTTCAATGTTAGAACACATACACTTTTGATTCCTCATTCAGTTATTACTTTCTTTTCACACCTAAGTATGTGAGGTTACCACGTGAACGGTGCATTGAAAAATGACTACAGCTCATCAGAACAGAAACTAAGATTTTACAAAAACAGTGTACTATTATTATTCAAGCAAACAGCCACTGGGAGAATTACTAACTTTTTAAAAGCCCATCATTGATACTGTTATTATTATTTGTTTACAAATATCTCTTCTCTTTGTTAATTCCCCATTTTAACATTGCTATACTACATAAGTTAACATCAAAAAACCATAAACTTTAGATGCTATGTGAGATATGTCAAGGCAAAATAGTTTTCATAAGAGCCTTTCAGGTTATTCTCAATTACAGTAAATGTTTCCTTTCACTTAAGTACAATCTAACAAACTCAAAAACTAGATGTTTTAAACTTCTCCTTGGAAAAAAACCAACTAAGAAGTCCAGGGACTCTAGCACATGTTTGTTTAGAATTTAGCAGCAAGAAGGTGAGCATGGTGGAATAATCACGAATTGTGACTGGATTCCTAAGCAAAGATGTTGGCACTAGCACTATAATCAGGTCACCAGCAATGAATATAAGTAGTTCTAGATCACTAATACCTATTTGATTCAGAAGAGAGTAAGAAACATAATGATGTCCACAATGTACTGTCTGCCTTTGCCTTTCTCCCTTCCTGGCCTTGCAACAGTGCAAGCCCAGCTGTTAACCAGATGCAAGCACATGAGCCACACTGTGTGAGAATAAAAATATTATTATTATTTCCATGAAACTAGTCCCGTGGCTATTATAGGAATAATCAGCATTAGCATACTACAATATTTGTTTTACTCTTGAATGCTGTAATACCCTGAGGGGGAAATTATCTTTATTCGAAAAAGATTAAAAATGAAAGTACATGCTATACATCTTTGCTGGAAAACTATGGGAAATAGGTTTGTTGAAACCATATGGAAAGGAAGAGGGAATCAATTAAAAACAGAAATCTAATAAATCTAAAATATTTCCAAATGAAATGCTTGTGGTAAGCTAATTTCTTGTAAACACTGTGCTTGAGTCCCAGATGGTGAACTAACTTTGTGGTCTTAAAACAAAAGTCAGCCAAAAACACCAGTGACTATAACTTTATTATCAAAGTAGTGGGAAATATGAGATCTATAATTACCCAGTAGGTTACCTTTTATTCCTTTACAAAACTTAAGAAATTTGTGGAGCTTTACTAAATAATTTTAACTAAAATTTAAGTTCATATATGTTAAATAAAAAAATTAAAACATTATTGTAGTTAAAAGTGAGGTAAAGTCTAGTTATTTACATTAAAATATTTCTAAAAATACCAGTAATGAAATACCATGCAAGGTCTAACATCCTAAATAATCATGAATGTTTTTCAGTTGACATCTATAAACTTAAATTCAAGAAAAATTCAGAACTTTTTAAAAGCTGGGCTATAAATAAAAGCTTGCGATTTATGCCTTGACCAGAAATTACACCTGATGGAATGAATAAACATCTACATTACCTGCTCCATTGTCAATAATCCATCAGATGACTCTGGTACAGGCTGCATGGGTAGAAGCTGGCATAGGGTGCCCAAAAGTAAAGCAACTTCCTTCATGCTTCTCCAACAACATACGAGCACCATCTGAGCAGTTACATCATATGTTTTTCCTTCTTTACCTTAAAAAAAAAACTAAATTAAAGACTCCTGATTACTCATATCCCAGGTTTCTTAGAAGAAGCATATTCATAATTTCCTTAAGAATAATCTTCCTGAACAAACCGATTTGTTCTATTCAGGAGGAAAAAAAGCTAACATTTGTCAAGCATGTGCTATAAGGAAGAATCATGCTGACTAAGTGTTTTTCAACTTATTACTTTCAAAATAAATTTTAAAATAAAGCATAATATTGCTTCCAAGCTTAATAAAACAAATTCTTTATGCCTTCATCACCCACAAAGTATTACATAGATAACTATACAAAATATATGTCTCATTTACTTTGATGAAGATGGCTATTAAAGTACAGGACAGACCTTTTAAATTCAAAGGAAAATACAAATTCTCTTTTTCAATATACCTAAATCTGGTAGTCAATGAGCCATAATTACTCTTATTTACCTCTTTTATTCTAGTTTTAGAAGTACTTTAGTACTAACATAAAAAAATGCAAAATTATTCAATTAAAACAAATTAATGAAATAAAATTTATATTGTAACCCAATTCTTTAAAAGCTCACTAAACGAAGAAGATAAATGTGTATATGCAAACACATAACACAGTATAAAAGAATACATATCAAGGGGGAAGAAATGGAATTGGGGGCCGGGCATGGTGGCACATGCCTGTAATCCCAGCACTCGGGAGGCTGAGGCAGGAGGATC